ATCCTTTTCTCCGTGTGCATGTGATCATCAGCAATAGCATCCCCGGAGTACACGACCCATCTCCTCTCTTTAACATCAATCAATTCATTCACGGATGTGGAAGACTAGAAACAACTTGAGAAGTAAGCACGACGAACAATTTAACAAAATTATGCATAAAAACAAGATAAGAAAACAACAAGTAAACACAATGAATCCACAAACGCCAATTGATACGACACACCACACATCTATACAAACAGTACACATACCCTTGCCGATCATGTCTCGATGTAATTCCTTTGAAGAATTACAGGACTTACACCAGCACACCCGCAACCCTTCTCAGATTGACTATTGTAGGTTGAAGTATCTCCGGACACAAACAAGATTAACCAACAATTACATTAACTGGAACCCACTCAGTCATTTGAGACAAACATGTGCAAAATCTATACAACGTAGCAGTTGTAGGCATTCCGCTCATCTCATCATGATCAGCCAAAGTCAAATGTGCTCTATCATGAACATTATCACAAATATTCAATTTACCATCATCTATCTGGTCGACTTCATTGTTTTCAATATCTTTAACAAGAGCAGTAGATGATTTGGGTTCTTCCTCACAAATCCTTAAAAGTTATACAGCTTCACTCTGACTAGCAATACCTTGTAAATTTGTGGAGTCAGAACTGTCCTCTGAAACTGTAACTCTCTTCTGTGAAACCCTATTCAACAATGACTTACCAATTGCAACTACCGGCTTCTTCACTGCACCATTATCGTCACACAATTCGCAGTCAGAACTTGATGATGCTGACTTCACATTTAGCTTACTACTTATCTTGCTCACTGATTCACAGTTCATCTTTGTATGCACTACTTCCAAACGTGTAAAACACAATCGTGTTTGTCTCGAAACTTGTAACCTATTCGTTGGGGATGTCCCACGAAAGCTGCCACACTCACTAAGTCTAATGGATTACTAGACACCATAAAGCTTTCTCGATATCCACCTCTCTGAGACCCTTTCGTCATAAACGACTGCGTTTCGCTCTCAGACTGCTCTGTCCTAGGGGTGAGATGCAATATGCTGGGAAACTTGCTCATAGATTGATTGACACCATCTTTTACCAGTTTCAGAATATCATCGAACTTTAGCTCAATACCTTCATCCTCTATACGGGAGCTTATCTTCACCCACTTCCTTTGCAGTCGAGTAGGTAGGCGTCTCGCTATTACCTCTAGGACTGAACTTGAGTTCAGATCGCTCATGCAATTCATCGAAATCAACGTATTCTTGTAAGTCAGTAGATTATCCAAAAACTCAGTGAGTGCCTTGGATTATTCTCCTAATTGACTACCATTACCTTTAACAGCCTCGAATACATTCCTTACAATCATCGAAGTTTTCCGAATCTTTGACGCAGTATACTCATAGCTTCAGTGTATCCTACTTCAGGGGGCATAAACTTACAGCACTGTATGGCTGTTGCAGCGACACCGGTGCAGTACCTCAATAAATACATTGACTTCATTTCGTCATTTAAAATCAAACCACTCAATATGATCTCAAACTCCTTTACAAACTGTAAATAACCAGCTGGGTTTCCGTCAAAACACCGTGGTTCAAATTTAGGGAGTTTGATATTCCTGTTATCCCTAGACAGCGAAACAGTAACATCAACCATGACACGCTTAACATCAGGCATATGGCTACAATTAACAGACAAGTTACCATGACTTACTTCCCTGTTTGCTTCCAAGACGCTCTGTCCCTTCTTTGCCCCAGGCATCACTGAACGTAACCGAAATTCCAGAAAGTTCCAGACAACGCTTGTTCGAAGAAGACTTGAAGAAACCAGGAAACATGGACGGTGACTAGCCAAACTGTCACCAACTGTCCGAATCCGTAAGCAACTGACTCCAATCCGTCAGAAACTTTCAGCCACGTCACGTAAACCAGTAATGCCCAGCTCTTGCTACGCTGGGACTCACGCTGTTCCTCGAAGCTTCTCAGAAACGCTTTGTACGAACGGACGCAAAAACCAGAACCCAGTTGGGCCACTCGAGAATTATTTATCCTAAGGCCAACATATAGCCAACTTTACAAATAAGGTTTCTGATGGTTTGTCATGACATCTTTCTGAAAACCGACTGATGAGACGATGACTGGTGGATTGATGACTCCCGCGAAAAATATGGAGGAGTTGTTTTTGAGCAAACAACCATGAATTGATCGTTCAATCTTCAATTGTATTGATAACAGCACCGCAAAAGTTTACCACATGAGTCTCAAGGAACAACTGATAAATATATAGATATACATTTTCTTAATAACTATGGTTAATTTCCTCAATATCTATCTCGTCCCGTTATGCTTACTTTCATATTATGAGTGAACTAATATTACTGTCCTGTGTAGAAGTGTTTAGCATCTAGTTCCAATAATATTAAAATTTATGATTGTAGTTTGTTGTAACTACACGTTTAAAGAACTTAAAATATCTATGTAGTGTGAAAAAGAGGGTGTAAGATTCAAACGTAGATGTGCATTGTCATTTTTGAGCAGTCTGGTGACTGAGGAGACGAACCCTGCGTGTGCGTTTGCATCGCGCACATCAGCTGGTAGTCTATTCCAAATGACTGAAAACTTATTTAAGAAGAAGTTGTACCGCACGTAAGTCTGACAGTGCTCCATAGCAGCTAGGTTGTGATGATTTCTAAGATTGTAACTGATGACAGCGGTAGGTTTAGTTATTGGCTCGGAGGAATGCAAGAGAAGATTAGTTAGCTTGTAGTAAAAGATAAGGTTTAGCTTAAGGCGTCTTTTCCAGAGGGGTTCTAATCTTAGTCTGTCGCATCGCTCATGGTATTCCAGACCACTTTCTAAACCAAGAGTTCTTGACGTAAACAGCCGTTGCACTCCCTCTAATTTAAGCTTGTCATTTTGTCTTAATCCGCTAAGAATAAACGGGCAGTATTCTAAGATAGGTCGGACACATACTTAGTATATTAAACCCTAGTTTATATCTGGGTGAGTGTTATACCGCCACATGATTGAACGCTATTTCAGGAAGAGAAGAAAATTCTGTGAACCTGCAAGGTGGTATAAAATGCGACTATGAATAATGCATCATCGGAAGTATATGTACAGATAAATACAAGAAGAAGCTAGATAGTACCTGAAATGTTAGCATATATTTGTGATGTTTAACGCTAACCATATTGGTCTAAGCATGGAAACTATGATGTTTTCTACGAGAATAGAGCTCTGTTCATTCATTGTTGTTGTGTTTGAAACGAAGAAACCAGAGTTTTAGCAGTCAAAAAATATGAACAAAGAGCAAGTTTTGGCTTTAACAAAGGCCTAGATGGTTAATATCAGATAGAGCATATTAGTGCTTAAATAAAAAGATTATTATGAGGCAGATAAGTGATATTTCGATGAGAAGCGAATTCAAAGGTCTGGGAGTTTAGAAGCCTTGGGACAAGCTGACTTGTAAGATGTCTCACGAATTTCTGTTGAGCCCAACGGGCAGCATTTTAACGGGAAGCTGAACAAGCTTGTAAATGGTAGGAGCAAAAGCACCTTTTACTTATAACTTAGGTCTCTACAACCCTTATTATTTTTTGTTGAGGGTCCAAACTAATGTTTAATTCTCTAGCTGTCAAAAAATGCATGTTGCTGTCCTACAGATCGGAGCGATTCACACTTGTGACCACTACCATATCTGCTCATCAGCATGCGTCGCCCTACCCCCTATTTAATGTTAAGCTGTGAGAGTTTTTGCAGCAACTTTAGTTGCAGTATTGCACTGCTTTGAGCGCAATCCAATCACACAGTATGATGCACATTTATACCTTTCATGATAAGCGCTTCTCACTAGGTCATCAGATACATCGATACCTGAGGACATTCTTAGCAGTTTCACCTTTATACATGCACACATGTATACACGTATTTGCCACAAACGCCTAGTAAATTGCGTTTTATTTAAGAAGTATAAAGTATAGAAGTAGCTAGCAATACAGCGGCTAAGTTACAGTCTATTTAATAATAATAATAATAGTATATTCTCATTTTGTACATGAGAGACGCCAGTTTCCAGGCATCATCAATATGATAAATTACATATACGATTAGCAATCATAATTAATAATAATGTTTCAATAAAATACACATTATTTCCTACTTGTGTAGGACACACCAATTATACAGGCATGGATAAGCATTATATAAATTTCATAAATTTGGTTCATGGTTAAGTTACATGGTTGCTGGCGTTTTTATCTTAGGTCTGTGGGAACAATATGATAACCAGTCATTCAATGGAGCACATCATGAAATATAGGAATAATAAAAATAATAGTATATTCTAATTTTGTACATGAGAGACGCCAGTTTCCAGGCATCAACAATATGAAAAATTACTCATACGATTAGCAAACATAATTAATAATAATGTTGTCAATCACATCTCATAAACCGTTAATGCCCAGCTCTTGCTACGCTCGGGCCCACGCTGTTCCTCGAAGATTTCAAAAACGCTTAGTTATAACGGACGAAAAAACCAAAACACCGATCTGCCGCTTGAAATTTCTTTATTGTTACACCAACATATAAAAAGAATGAGTGAACTAAGGTCTGAAAACAAATATTACAATAATAAATCATTGTAATACTTCTGACGATGTTTCACTCTTCTTTCTGAACAGCGACCGATGAGACGATGACTGTCGTATAGATGCCTCCGCGAAAATTGGGGAAGTTGATTTTGAGCAAACAACCGTGAATTGATCGTTCACTCTTCAACTCCATTGACAAATGTTTTAATAAAATATACATTATTTCCTACTTGTGTAGGACACACCAAATATACAGGCATGGATAAGCATTATATAAATTTCATAAATTTGGTTCATGGTTAAGTTACATGGTTGCTGGCGTTTTTGTCTTAGGTCTGTGGGAACAATATGATAACCAGTCATTCAATGGAGCACGTCATGAAATATAGGAATATTGTCTTCGCATTAACAAAAAAACCCAAGTAAGTTTTGGATGGATTAAAAATACTTGGGAAAAAATAAAGCTTGAAGTAATTCCTCAATATAACTTGGGTGTGTACAAATCCGAATCTTATTTTTGATTTGATTTATATCCAAATTGGGTAATAAGGAAGCTATTTTTACAGATACGATCAGTTATGTTATAAGCTACAATCGTGACGTTGTATTACAAATAGATACTTTTCCATTGGTATAAGAGTATATTCCACAAATGTAATCCAGGTTGCGTCGTGGAGAAAGTTAATTCGTTATTAACCAGGCAACTGAAAGATACTGGACCAATAATGTTTGCAGATCATTTGTCATTGTAAATGGTCAAATATCCACATTATTCATTCTCATTCAAAAAGTCAAATGGAAGCTGAAATGGTGAGAGAAAAAAGAAGACAAACAACAGCAACGCAAAAGAAAGCAACGGGAGTCCTTAAGGAGTGATTAATAAATATATACATATATATTCTGTTTAGTAACTGTGGTTATTTTGGTACACAAACTAACTAGTCCCGTTATGCTAACTTTTATATTATGTGTAAACTAATATTATTACTGTCCTGTGTAGAAATGTTAATCATCTAGTTCCAATAATATTAAAATTTATAATTGTAGTTTGTTGTAACTACACGTTTAAAGAACTTAAAATATCTATGTAGGGTGAAAAAGAAGGTGTAAGAGTCAGGCGCAAAAGTGCATTGTCATCTTTGAGTAGTCTGGTGACTGAGGAGATGAACACTGGAAGTGTGTTTGCATCGCGCACATTAGCTGGTAGTCTATTCCAAATGACTGAAAACTTATTTAAGAAGAAGTTGTACCGCACGTAAGTCTGACAGTGCTCCATAGCAGCTAGGTTGTGATGATTTCTAAGATTGTAACTGATGACAGCGGTAGGTTTAGTTATTGGCTCGGAGGAATGCAAGAGAAGATTAGTTAGCTTGTAGTAAAAGATAAGGTTTAGCTTAAGGCGTCTTTTCCAGAGGGGTTCTAATCTTAGTCTGTCGCATCGCTCATGGTATTCCAGACCACTTTCTAAACCAAGAGTTCTTGAGGTAAACTGCCGTTGCACTCCCTCTAATTTAAGCTTGTCATTTTGTCTTAGTCCGCTAAGAATAAACGGGCAGTATTCTAAGATAGGTCGGACACATACTTTGTATAATAAAACCCTAGTTTCACAACAAAAGAAATTGCGTGTTATGCATCCTATCAGCCTTCGCGTTTTACGTCTGGCATAATCAGTCTGTTCAGCGAACGTTAGGTTACTAGAGTATCTAATACCGAGATCTACGACTGAGTTGAGCTTAGCTAGTTTTCGCCCATTTATTTCAAGAGTTAGATCAAGGTTACTGTTGCCAATACAAATCCAGCCGCATTTGTCAATGTTAAAATTTAGACAGGAATCAGCACACCATGATGCGAGACTACTTAGTTCAAGATGTATTTTAGTAACCATATCGCTTAATTCATGAGTGTAGCAGGAGTAGACGACTTTGAGGTCGTCAGCATATAGGAATGGTTTGCCTAAGGTGAAGCACTTGCAAATGCTGTTAATGTAGATTGTGAATAAAAGTGGACCTAGGACACTACCTTGCACGACCCCACTTGAGATCTGCCTAGGATGAGACAATACAGATCCAACTTTGGTTATTTGTACCCTGTTGCTTAGAAATGATTTTAACCAGTTCAGTAATGGGTTGCGAATTCCACAAGAGTACAGCTTCTCAAAGAGAATACTGTGAGATACCATGTCAAATGCCCTAGATATATCGAAGTAGAGAACAACGACTAGCTTACGTGCTTCGCGACTACTAGTGATGCAGTTGAAAAAGTCGAAGTGGCAAGTAACGCAGGATCTATTTTTGAGAAATCCGTGTTGAGACCTTGTAACAAGATCTTCCCTAATTAGGTAGTCTGACAATTGATCTTTTACAACTTTCTCCATGATTCGTGAGATAACTGGGGTTATATTTATGGGTCTGTAATTGCGGACGTTTGCCCTATCACCAGATTTGTAATGTGGAATTATGAAGCTAGTTTTCCACTCACTAGGGTAAGTGCCAGTGTCCATAGATATTGAGAAGAATTTAAGAAGTAACAGGGTATATCACACCCACTGTTTTTGAAAATTATCGAAGCGAGGCCATCCGGTCCCGTACTAGTGGAAGGTTTAAGGCTTTTAATTGCTTGTACTATTAACTGATTAGTGAACACAATGCTTTCAAGGGAAGAGATAGTAAGGGGAGCGGTTTCACCAGGCATATGTGTTTCTAAACTAAAGTTTGCAAACCAATCACTGAAAGTTCACAGATAGTGGCAGGTTCATTGTAGATTACTTTGTCGTGAAGTAAGTATGGGATTTCCCTCGCCGACTGCATTCGTTTTTTAAGAAGTGCCGTTAAGTTATAAACTTTGGAGGTACTTTCAAGTGCCGTTAACTCTTCGTCGAGGTCCTTTTGAGAGCGTAGGCGCTTGAGAGATTCAAGAGACTCGTGGATTGAGAGCAATAGTGATATGTCCTTAGTGGAATAGTACTGTTTCTTCAGCTTCCTTAACTTATTACGGTGTGCCCTTGGAATATATTCAGTTCGGTGTCTACTTAATTTCACTATTTTCTTTGGAGCAACTGTATCTAGACAAAGGGTAACATTCCTGTAAAACAGGGTTACTAAGGCCTCCAGGGAGTCAGTGGTAAAATAGTCATCCCATTGACAGAGTCGAATAAGTTCTTGGACTAATCCCCAGTCTGTATATTTGTAACTACGACATATTGTGCTTCCTGAGTCTTGTTTGTTTCCTGTATTTAGTGGTGAGAAAGGCAGAGAGCAGAGTACCATTCTATGGTCACTACTGGAAAATCTATTACCAACATAGTGGATACTGGGATTGTGTCATGACAAAAAACAAGGTCCAACATGTTGTCACCACGAGTAGGTGTCTGGACGTGTTGTTGCCATCCATAACAGTCTATAGTGGCAAGTAATTCGTCGAAGCGTTGGGGGCCGGAACTAGTTAGCCAATTGACTTCTGGAAGATTGAAGTCCCCTGCAATTATTTTGTAATTAGCACTAAACGAGGATGCGTGTGCAAACGATTTAGCTAATAACGCATCAGTTTCTTTTGTTGAGCTTGGTGCTCGATAAACACTATGAGAAGTTTGTACTTATCTCCATGTAAGACAACCCAGAGTGAGTCAGGTACATTATTCATTGTTTCATCTTCCACCTTACTGACTACAAATGAGTTATGCATATATATGAGACATCCTCCACCACGCTTGCAATCTCTGTTTGCACGGTGTACAGTGTAATCATCGATACCTATATGCACATCAAGTACAGAGGATGAGCACCATGATTCAGTAATCAGAGCTACAGTAGGCTTGGCGACTAATAATAATGTCCTTAGTTCAGATATCTTATTGATTAAGGAACGTGCATTAATTAGCAATATCGTGAATAAGTCACGGGATACTACAAACTGGCTTAAAATGTCACCATAACCTAAATCTATTTGTGCGTCAGCACCGCAAGAATTTATGAATGAAAAGGAGGTCGGACTGGGTGTCTGTACATCGGAGTTGGTGTGCAATGAGGTGGTCCTAGGTGCCATGGGTCGTACCAGTGATTCGGGACACCTGGAAAATTTACCATGTGTTCCTGGATATAAGGGTAGTACAGGTTGGGCCTAGGTTGACGGTTAAAAGGCATAGCATCAGAAGGTCTACCCATCCAACTGCTATTCGTCATACCGGTATACACCTTCGGGTTGTTTTTATAACTTAAAGGGAATTGTGAAGGAAGGTGCTTTGGCTGCAAGACTTTAGGAGTCTTGGAGCCTGACTTTCTATAAGGTGGAGCATGCGGAACACCTCCAGATGTACTTATGTTTCGAGAGGAGTTTTTCGTAACAAGTGATGGTTTGTTGGCATTCTTACTCTCAGCAGGCTTATTGAATACAAAGTATTCTTCCCCATCATTAGTCTCAACCCTGCGAAATTTGTCCATCGTGGTGAGGTTACTACGTTTGGGGGGAAATTTCTTAGAACAACTTGCAGAAGTTCTAGTCATTTTAACATCTTTCGATGAGGCTTTATTTACAGGGGTACTGGTATCTAAATCAGTTCCTAGTTCCATTGGCAGGTGTGGTTGTTGTGTAGTTTGCTGAATGCTAGTTTCAGCACTAGGTGTCTGTTGCTGTGCACGATCCTTATTTGGTAAATCAAAGCTAGAGGAGGTGACCAGGTTATTACTACGCATTATTCTGCGCTGACACGGTGTTTTATCCTGAGCTACGGTTATGGACTTATAACTGCTATTCAGTCTTAAGTGATCCTGACATTTAGTAAACTTACTAGCATCAAGGGAATTACTGAATTTAAAAATGATTGGGCAATTAGACTGGTTAGACTTTTTACGAAGTCGTTTGCGGTCACATGGAACACTAGCCATGCCGCAACAAATCAGGATTTTGTGTCTTACAGTTTTCAGGGGCAGAGAATCTGGGACATTGTAAACTATAGCTTGGTGAGAAGAAGTTATACGCTTCATCACCTCCGTAGCCAAGCAGTCAATCAGATTTTCAGCTTTATTTAGGTTGTCTGGAGATATTTTAGGATGCCTTTCTAAAAGACAGGCTATTGGGTCTAAATTCAAAAGCTTATTTTGAGTTACATCCAGTAAACACTTAACCTGACCAATATCAGACCGGCTCTCCGTGGTATTTGAGATTGGCAGTGACATACTATCAAACTGATCTAATTTTTTCTGAATTTCACTTACTTGCCTCTGCATATCTTTCAAAAGGAGGTTTAGTTTACAGAACTCAGAGTTCTCTAACAGAACATCTTTCACCTGTATCACAGGAGTGAGATCTGCACTCAAACCATTTTGAGAGCTAGTAGTTGATACTGTATTACCAGGCGGTAATGCAGTTATAACCGAATTTAAGCCACTATCTAAAACAATTGTGTTTCTACGAACACGTTTTTTAGAGATTTGGACCATAATTTCAAGAATTATATGACAATAAGCAGTAAATAAATTTCAGAGCAAACACGTGCAAAAATGTCACCAATTTCGAACGTACCGCCAAGAGTGAAATGACTAATAATAGCGGAGCAATCAGTGGTAAAATTATTTATGATGATCCTGAAGAAAACGGCCGGTTGACAGAGCTAGTTATGCTAAATTTTCATGACCGATTTTCATACGGTACGCATTAGACATTGCAAAGTAACTCATCAACTTATGTTTTGGTAAAAATACTGCGAAATATTATAAAAATTAAACGTTTTAGGAAAGTATATGAGAAAAGTTAGTTGCTGACTAAGTAAAGCCATTTGGTCACTAAAATAGCACTGTGTTATTAACTGTATATACATATGTAAAATAATAAAAGGTGTGGTTGCTAATATAATTATTTTCAGAGTTACTTGTACCAATACAACTTAGTAAAGATTGTAGAGAATAGAGGTCAGTAAACTGGTCAAACTTTCGCTGCGTGAGTAGGAGTCGAGTTATACGTATGTGAATATACTGCAGACTGGACTGGCTTTCGATTTCCGTTCTATTAACAGTTGTGGTCTTTTAGACGAGCTAGGGTGGACGTGTTTTTGTGTCTCCCTAGGCTCCGTTTGAACCCATTGGGGTTTTCACATCTAATTTCAGATGGTAGTTGGCTCCAAAGAATTCAATACTTAATGGTCAAGAAGTTTGTCTTAGTGTTTCTCCTGTGATCGTGATTTCGCAGCTGATAAGGTTTAATATTTTCCCACGTTATGGATGAGTTACTATAACAGTGATTCTAATGACTGTGAAGAGTAGAAATAAGTTGCACTTCACTTTCCTTGACCACATATGTTCTAATTTCAGCCGTATACACCTGTCATCATATTCCATTTGTTGGTCGGTTTTGTAGAATGTGAGAATACGGAATGAATGTTCATCCATTTGGTGTCAAGTAGTCTCCATTTTTTGCTAGTTCCTAATTATACAAGGCTACGTCCACATTCGGTTCTCATGATTTGCTGGATTTCATCGACTGCTGCCTCTGTATTCGTGGTTACTTAGAATCTTAAAAAGATCACAAGCTTGCAGTTAGCTCTACCCCATTTGTCAGCCACGTCTTAGATTAGGATGGCCTTCGTTCAACTAAAACAGCTTCGTAAAATTACCTTGAATCCTAATCTTAAAAATAATAGCTGTCAATCACGTCTCAAAAACCGTTAATGCCCAGCTCTTGCTATGCCGGGCCCCTCGCTGTCCCTCGAAGCCTTTCAGAAACGCTTAGTACTAACGGACGAAAAAACCAAAACACCAATTGTTGACTTGAGGATTCTGTATTGTTACACCAACATAACGCCCGGTACGTTCAAATCAGGTGACGCTCTTGCACGTGTTTCCGCTTATATTCAATTATTGGTTACTAATAATTGATCTTTAATAACGATGGTTCAAAATTCTAAAAAGTGTGTTCGTGTGAACACCAGTAATTTAGAAAATAGCACCGGCTCGTCTAATAACACATTACCACCCCATATTATTAGTAGTTCACCCAACATGAAAGCCTCGAACATCACTCTGACCCCTGTAATACAGGTGGAAGTTGTTCTGTCTGAAAAAGTAGAGCTCTCTTACTTAACGTGCGTAATTAAAGAGATGCAGCTACAGATAGATGAATTAAAAACGAAATTAAGTTCCCTAGAATGTATACCTGAAACTATCTCACGTATGAAAAAGGAAATGCAG